CTTGGCACAGACAGGTAAACGGATCTTATCTAAGTTTAAAATTCATCAGATACAGTAGAAGAGAATAAATAGGGTCTTAAAATAATATTTTAAAAAATTTGAATCACGTTTATATTTATATCAAGAGGATTTTTTTTCAACAGCCTCGTCAATTTGTAACCAAAGAAGTATCTATTACTACGGCACATGCCGCGTACAAAGATGTCTGGCCAATGAAACACTGCTCCAGGGCCCCAGTTTCTGTGATTTGTATAACTCTGTGGCATCCGTCGTGCGATGTGCACCAGCCGTGCGTAAGTAATGTTCTCCTCTGGTTTATTATAAAACATGTATCATTATTTTTTTAATCTCAAGAAAATGTGTTTAGTTTTGATGATATCGAACAGGTGCAAGCATGTGTGTGTGTGTGTGTGTGTGTGTGTGTGTGTGTGTGTGTGTGTGTGTGTGCCTTTGCGTAGTTATGTAGACAATTGTATAATTGCACACTCACGTTATGTAGACATGCCCCGTTATGTAGACGTCCACATAATGTTTTAAGGTCACCATCGCATTTCCCGCCAAAAATTACATCATGTGTTAAAATATTTTTGAATTTGGTTCCGGTCCGAATAACGCTGTTATTTCGTTATTTCTATACACAACGCTATACACACTTCGAGTGTGTGCAGAATTTTTGGTGTCCACATAACGACAGTAGCTTTCTGATTTGTGTATCGCCGGGTGTGTGTGTGAGACGGCACGTGGCGGATCCAGAAGCTTGCTCTGCTGTACATCATGGAGCAACGCTCTGCAGTTAGTTTAATAAGAGTTTTACGGCGCTCACAACTTCTTAAGGCCACATGCACGCACGAAACACAAGTTGATTGCATTCACAAGAGCCCACTGTACGGCTTTATTTTACTTTTAAAAGGAAAGGAAAACATCTCATGGTAAAAAAAAATCTTGTTTTAAAAAGATTAGAAAATAAAAACAGATGTTTACATTTTAAAACAAAAATTATCTACATTTTAAAATACAGGCTAATGACTTTTATAGATTTGAGAATTCTATTTGGATCAACGACGGAGAACAGACCTTTTAATTTTGTGCTTTTAAAATATTTACTTCGGGTCTCTCCAAAGTCCGGACATTCTAATGTTTCTAATGGTGAAGTCTGTATCGCATCTGATACAGAGCGGTTTCTCATCTCAACGCAGGAGATATCCATGGGTCACGGAAGCATATATCTAAATACGTAAACGAGTAAAAACTTCTTCGTCTGTTCTCGAAAGGCCAGAAGATTTTCGTGGGTCCAGTGTGGACACTGTGAAGCTTGTTGTTAGTTGTTTACTTTAGTTTTTATCCCACAGCCTGGAGATGTAGTGAAGGAAATAATTCTCAACAGCAATTTAACTAGATTATCTATTTTCGGGTTTCAAAGTTTTAGATTGTCTAACAGCAGCAATAAAATGGACATCCAGGTCAAAACCAGAGGCTTGAGACCGTACGCAGCTTCAAGTACCTGCGTGCAATAGTGACAGACCAAGGATCAAAACCAGAAATACTCTCCAGAATAGGGCAAACTTCAGCAGCAATGAGCAAGGTAAAAACCATTTGGAAAGACAGAAATATCACCATCAGATCAAAGATCAGACTCATTCGTTCCCTGGTCATGTCAGTATTTTTGTATGCATGTGAATCCTGGACCTTGAAAGAAGGATCAAAGCTGTGGAGATGTGATAATTCCGAAAAGTCTTTCCTCTCTCATAAAAAGATCACCTCACAAATAATGAAGTCGAACAACGGATCAAAAATGCAATTGGACCATACCCTGACCTTCTCACTTTGTTCAGGAAATGCAAACTGTAATGGTATAGACACATCATCTGTTCATCCGGCCTTGCCAAGATGATCTTGCAAGGCAGCGTCCACGTAAAAAGGAGCAGAGACAGACCAAAGGAGAGTTGGAAGGACAAAATCAAAGAACAGACAGGCCTGGACCTCAAAGTCAAAGACACGCTCAGGAAATCTGAAGAGCGGAAGGAGTGGAGGAAGCTGGTGGCCAAATCTTCAATAGCGCCACAACGGACATCCAGTCTACGGGATAGGTGAAGGTGAAGTGAAGAAGATTGGTGAGTGAAATGAGGCAAGACAAGGCATCGGACAGAATGAGAAACGATAATTTGGGAGAATTTTTTACGGAGTTTAACGCCAAGTCAATAGCAGTGGCCTCCGCAGAAAAATATGGAGGCTTCGGGGTGGAGCATTTTTGCTGGGTTTTTTTCCTTTGGGGTCTATGACATTACCACACGTCCCAGAGAACCGTACCTAGTTTTCCGGGGTTTTTTCTGATGGTTTTGGTATGTCTTTGTGACACATTTCTGGAATCATTTCGTGAAATTAGTGGTAGTTGAGGCTGAAAGTGGGGTTCAAAATATGGAAACACCCAATAACAAACCCGTCCCAGTATGCTTTTTGAAATTAAAGCTCTCTGGGGTCGGTTCGTGTTGGAGGCTATTGTTCATGAGAAATATTGGGAAATGATCCGCACGGTCATCCAGCACAGACCACTCAAAATCTGGGACCAGGTCAGGGGTGTAGAAAGAAAGGTCGATGGATGAAGTGTTAAGGATTTGTTTCAGTAAGTTGAGGATTTACCATTTAAAAGACTGATGTTGTTTTGAAATAAAAGTCTTCTATTGTTTTTTTTTCCTTGTTGCCAGTGGATTTGTCTCCCCAAATGAGGTTATGTACATTAAATGGTGTTTGAGTCATTAAGCTGGGTAATTTTGAGGTGGTAATTTGACGGGACATATGGAGCAGATCGTGATTGGTCTTATCAGGGTGACCCATACAGCTATAGCCTGGAGGGTAATGGTTGTCCTAAGATGTACATGTATTTGTCTGTGGAGGGTGTTGTTGTCGATGTATCGTAGATGGTGGTTCAACCAGACGCTGTCTGGTTCTCGGTGTGAATATGATGATGAGAAGTAATAGCTTTTAAGTCAATGTTTGAAGCCGGGGCGAACTTTGTCTCTTGGACACAGGCCACAAGTGGGCACAGTGTAACCTGTATGTGTTGCAATTCTAGAATGGAAGGTCGGAGTCCTCTGGCATTCCACTGCAGGACCGCCATTAGACCATTTGTTAAAGATTTGGAGCACAGAGGTCCCGTCTTCTCTGAGCTCTGACTCCTCCTTGTGGGGGAAGAAGAGGATTTGCTTGGCTGCCGCCCTTTATTGGGCAGCATCCAACCGGGAGACTTGGGGAGGGAGTTACGGCTTCCTTCCTTCCCGGATCGGAGGTGTCATCCTCCTAAGGGAGGGGGTATCATCCTCCTAAGGGAGGGGGTATCTGGTGGAGGGGTAGGGGTAGGTAGGGCAGACGAAGGGAGTTGGAAAGAAGGGGGAGGGGCTGGATGAGGGGGAGGGGGCACCTCAAACACCATCAGAGGGGTGGGGCGTGGGGAGAGAGAAGAAGAGGGGACGGAGGAAGAGTCCACCTCGTCCTCCCCTAGAACTCTGAAACAGTTGGCGAGTGGCCCCTCGAAGGTGGTTACTACAGGGGTAGGAGGTACCTTCTTAGTTTTATTGCAGTTTCGCCTGTTGACCACGGGCTCTTCGAGGTTGGCAGTAGAAGTACTGGCCGACGTCAATACCGGCCGGACTGGACTGCCTTTGCGTTTAACCGACCAGGGACCGGGGTCATAACTGTCGGGTAGACAGTCTTTCGAGCCTTCTGAAATGAGCAGCCATTTCGGGCTTTGACTCTTGGATGGTGCGTTCTTGGAACCAAGTGTTGGCGATTGTGAGAGAAAGAAAGGACTAGCACTAGTCTTTCATACCTTTTCAGGATGCCCGGTCTTGCCACGACGAGTACACACGTCTGCGTGTCGGCATCACGACTGGCCACGGCCAAATTTCTGGCACTTGAAGCAGCGCAGATGGTTTTACACTTAGGGTTGCATGTCCAGGACCAGGTATGCTGCTCGAACAGTGGCTGGTGGGCAGCACGAATCGAAAGTCAAAACAATTGTGTTCCTTTCAAGGGCAGTCTCGCCCCGCCGAAGAGTCATCTAGCGGGCTTCGACCACACCCTCACAATATCGCTACAATTTTTTTCTGAAGAGCAGCCTTTCACCTCATGACTGCGGACGACGCTCTTCGAGCAGTTGAACTTCTTGTGTCTCCAAGATTCACAAGAATACCATGGAAGGTCGTGAGATCCAGGGGTCCAGTTATTTCTGTTTCATATGCAAGGAGTGCACTGGAAGACAGTTTTTGGACGTTGGCGGGGATGTGTCCCAGTGTCTGTGTTAAAGCATCTCCTGTTATGAAAATGGTTAGATCTGTGATCTTCTTCTGTGCATCGAAGTTGCGGATGGTCAAGTACGGCTGCTCTGGAGGCTCCCTGGGAGGAGGGAGAGCACAAGCAGCCGTAAAGATCGGTTTTCCTGGTTGTCTGCTCGGCTCGGTGGCTACACCCGCTTCTGCGAGCAGAAACTTTTTTAGTATCCTTGGGGACTGGAGACGGGTCAGAATGTTTTGGAGGATTCAATGTGTGTTGGGATGCTCTTCGACTTCGGGGCTCCCCGCCCACCAACGAGTCAAAGAGGGGAAACATTGCTCGGATGACCAAAGCTGAGCCAGGGCTACTCTGGAGTTATACTCTCCATGAAAGTGTACTAGACCCTCGCATCAAGATTGACACACGGATAAACTGGAGGGGCTTCAGCTCCCAACCGATTGAGTGGCATGGGCAGTACTACCCTCCCATCTAAGAGGAAAATCTGGGCCAAAGAGGTAAGTTGGCGAGGGACAGTCCGCAGACTGATCTCACTTCAACTACCAGGTACCCGGTTTCCACAGGTTGCACCCCACGGTCAACGAGGCGCCCATTTTGTGGGATGGACGACCTCGACTTTTGCTGCACACGGGGTAAGCGGTGGAAGAAATGATAGAAGAAGGGAGAAAGGAGGAAGGAGAAAGAAGGAAGGAGAAGAGGAAAATGCACCAAAAAAGATGTTGCACAAGGATCCCAGGGACAGTGGGTCTTTTCATATATCCCCAACCCACGGGTGAAGTAATAAACATTATAGGCACCCAATGCCCTTAAAAAACCATTTATACTCAGGAAGTCCCAATAATGGACCATTTGTGTACCTTTGTGCAAAAGGTCAGGAGGTCGTGAAGTCCACATAATGCAATGTCCCACTAACGTTAGTAAAAAAACATACTGGACTAAAATTTTAGGTAGCTTCTTCAAATTTGGTGGACAATGATGTTTTAGTATCGTGGACTTACACTGTAAATTTTGATTGATTTCACCCATAACTTTGGATGATATGGGGTGTCCACATAATGTAGGTCTGGGGCAATGTCCACATAATGACCTCAAAACACGTATGTGTGTGTGTGTGTGTGTGTGTGTGTGTGTGTGTGTGTGTGTGTGTGTGTGAGAGAGGGAGAGAGAGAGGGGAGGGAGAGAGAGAGAGAGAGAGAGAGAGAGAGAGAGAGAGAGAGAGAGAGAGAGAGAGAGAGAGAGAGAGAGAGAGAGAGAGAGAGAGAGAGAGAGAGAGAGAGAGAGAGAGAGAGAGTTACAAATGGGCGCTGGGGCATAGATCTACATCTCGATCGAAGGCGCATTATTTGGGATAAGTACCTTATCACATAAACACATCCTCGTTTCTTTCCTTCCCCAGCGTGCTGCTTGTTCGGGGGCAGGTGCCGTCGAGGATGCACGGTGTCCGAGGTTCAGTTTGGCGTGCAGACAGACTGCCGCGGCACTGCCACTCCGAGGTGCTGCATCAACGCCGGCCCTGCAAGACCGGCCGCTGTGACTACAACGACAGCCAGACCCCCGCCACTATCTGTGGCACAGAGGCAAGGACGTGAGTGAAACGTTTGACTTTGACAGGAATACAAATCTAAATACTTTAACTTTAAGAATAACAACCTGTCCCCGTGGTTTTATGCATCCCGCGTAATTGCTCAAAATTTGATCTTTTTTTTCTTCAAATTAACAGAATCGCATAATTTCACATTTTTGGGTTCAGTTTGCATAATTTCATAATTTTTCTTGCATAAAACGACGGGCTGTTTTGAGTAGGCCGAGTGACTAAGAGTAATACCATGGGGTCAGTTAATTAAGTAGTATCTGCTCTACCAAAATCATAAGATTATTCGGAGTCTATATCAAGATATTCAAAGAATGGCATTCGGAAAAGCTTGACGTGTTGAGAAACTCAATTTTTTTAACGTCAAATTTCTTAAGACTGGGTACTGAGGAAATAAAACTTTTTAAAATTTTGTGGTTGCCAATTTATTCTAAGCTCTATACGGAAAAGAAAGCTGGATGTTGCAGGCCATACATTCCAAGCGACATGCCAACTTCCGTTGCCCATACACATGTAAATGTGAAGCGTACTGACAAAATGAGTTACTTCTCGGATTCAGGCCTTAAGGAAATAGACACATCACACTTATAGGTGAAGTTTTTACAATTTATAAGTATGAAACAAAAGGAGTGTTATACTTAAAGAATTTGGCATCAATAGAACATTTACCAATTTGACCTTAAAGTGTCAATTTTTGGTCAACATCTCCATTTGTGGACTGCGAGAAGTAACTCATTTTGTCAGCACGCCTCACAAATATTATGTATTGTGGACCAAGATGCATCGCACCCATTTGCTGAAAGATTAATCGTATGGCCAGGAACATAAAGGTCCTAAGTCACAAATTGTGCTAAAATACACTTCTTCATATACATGAAACACGAAAGGTGAGACCACACAAATCTACAACAATGTAGACGTCATACTTTCCCCTGGTCAGAATGTGGCGCCAATCCAGTCATCCAGCCGCGCGTGGTGGGCGGTGCCCCCGTTTCCCCTGGAAACTGGCCCTGGATGGTGCGCTTCGTCTTCACCACAAACGCGCCCCAGGGCACGTGTGCCGGAGTGCTGGTGGATGATGACACTGTCATCACAGTGGCTCACTGCGTCGTCGGGTGAGTCTTTCAGCAAGTTCGTTTTTATTTTGATTGTTTGTTTGTTTGTTTGTTGTTGTTGTTGTTGTTTTAAATTACATGAATACGTGTACTATTTTTTTTCGTTTTTGTTAAATGTAGGCTAGGTGTTTTACGCCCCTATTTGCACAGAGGCGCACTGCGACGTCGGGTGAGACTTTCAGAAAGTTTTTTTTCTCTTTATATTTGTGTAGTTGTTTTTTAAAAATTAATGCAAACTAGATGTTTTACGCCCCTATCGGCACAGTTACTTAGATCATTTAGGGAACAGGCTTCGACTCTGCTTGTCAGGACCAATCATGGTTGAGAGGAGAGGGATACAACGTCCCCGTGGAGAGACCGAGATACTCGATTAAAAAAAAAAATGTATTTCCAACACAAGGATTGAACAAGGTCTTTAGCGTGCGACGGCGAAGCGCATAACCTCTACAACACAGACGCCTGTGGACACATTGCCAGGTGGAAGTTGAAACATTAATGATTTAACTGATAAATCTACATGTACTGTCTGTGTTTAAACTTCTGTCTATAACATGCGTAAGTCTAACCAGAAATCCAGGGGACAATGTGAACCAACAACACCAAACACAACTAGAGAACTAGAACAAAGTTTCTCAGAGCGTGTTGACATTTCGTTTGGTATGCTGGTCTACATTGTGAATGACCTTGGTTCAAATTTCCACCAAGGTTTGGAGTTCTCAAGGCCCTCTACACATTTGCTTTGGTCCCGGAGTTAATTCGGAGGCCGCGTCACGACTAGACTAGCTTTCAGTGTTTTCATCATCATAACAGTGCCAGACCTGAAACGGACATCGGCGATCGTGATTTTATATTCATTTCTCCGTTCGAATGCTCCGCAATTTCCTAGTATTATCCTGAGGTTTCCCCGTCACTCATCTATTTAGATTTTCCAAATACATTTCTCTGGGTCTACCCTCTTATTTGCCTTCTGTTGTTGTTTTGTTTTGTTTTTGTCCAGTGATAGCAACTAAGCTCGGTTGATCAACGCCTTTATGTCGAGTTAAGTGTTCTGGAAACTATATTTGTCTCTTCCTAATTAATTGTTATCATTAGTGAGCTTCAAGGATGTTAGCTTGTTCAGGACTACATTTACCTAATCATTGATTTAAATTGGCCTACATTTATCTAGGCCTAATCAATTATTTAATTTTAAATTTTAATCCGTTCCCAATCTTCCACACAGGGTCCAGCCGAGCCAGATGCGAGTGTTTGTAGGAGACGTGAACGTTGCGGCCTTTGACCCTGACGAGGAGCTGGTGAATGTTCTCAGCGTGGAGCTCAACGGGAACTACAGGCGTGGTGTCAGGGGTAAGATTATAAGAACTGATCTACTAAGGTCTTGATTTATTACTGTGAAAATGTCAAATGATTAAAGGTTCAACACCCGTATCAACCCAATTAGGTTATTTCAGAGGCGTGACCTCCGAGTGTTACGTCCATCTTCGAAAGGACCAAGTCAATTAAGAAATTCGTGTGAGGTGCCCTTCTCAAGGACACAACCACGGACCAAACTGAGGCTGCTTTAGCCACCGAACCTGCAATTTCACTTTTGGCTACCGACGCCACCATCATTTACCGCTGTACCCAACCACACATTTCTTATACATGTACCTATCCCCGTGATTTTATGCACCCCGCACAATCTAGCAAAAAAAAATAAATTTTTGTGTGCATACTTTCTGATTATTTAAATATTTCCCTTTATCATTCTTTATTAAAATTAACAGAATTGCATAATTTCACATTTTTAGGCTCAGTTTGCATAATTTCAGAATTTTTGTGTGTGCATAAAACCGCGGGGACAGTTATACTTAAACATGTAATAAATTGTTGACCAATCGAATCGTTACTGCGCAATTACTTACATTATATTCGGAACAATGGGAGCAGAAATAATCCTAGTCCTGGACCAATTCCCGACTGGTCTGGGTTTATCGTCGTTTTCGTAGTCATTTGAGTACGGTTTGCGGTACACTTGTTCTATGCTTGGCGCCTGCGCTCGCGAGGGCACGTACGTACGCCTTCGCTCTTCCATCTCCGATAGTATAGGACTGTGTAAAGTTTGGGTGCGCTCATATGAGAATTACCTAATGCAGTTGCAAGCGCCGTAAAACACAAGTTATTTACCACAAATAAAATTGGGTTGGGGGGGGAGGTGTTCATAGGAAGCGTATTGCCATATTGTCGTTTTGCATAATAGTAAACAGCATTGTAAAATGTACTGAGCTATCATTATGCCATTTTTGGCTTTAACGAACGCATCCACACACCACATTTATAGTAAACGCTATCTCTTTTGTTAACATAATTTATTATACACCCCCCCCCCCCCCCCCAATCTTACGGTAGCTCGTTCGGCGTAGATAGCAGTGGACCGTGTTCAATCAGGCGGGATTTACAGTAGACCCCCGAATCGCGGTAGACCGTCATCCAAACCAGCATCGAGTATGTGTGTATATAATATATTTTAAAAATACTATATAGTAGGCCTATTATATAATATGCGTGTTTTTCTCTCTCTCACTCTCTCTCCCCCTCTCTGTGCGAGCGAGCGCGTGTATGCGTGCACACGCGCGCGTTGTGTGTGTGTGTGTGCGCGCGTGTGCAACACCAATCATATGCACAAGTGTTTGGACAATAATCATATTATAATTATTATTATAATAATCGTATATATGATATGTGTTATAATCTTAACTATCTTATTTTCTTATTTCATCTGATTTCCAGGCAACGACTTTGCCGTGGTAAAACTTACTCGTCGCATCACGTTCACAAACAACAAGCTGCCTGCTTGTCTGCCAGACCCCGCCACACCCGTGAACCTGGGGGCCCAGTGTTTTGTGGCGGGCTGGGGCGTGGATGAAACTGGACAGGGTAATACTAATAGTAACGGTTTTTTCACCCTTTGTGTTAATTATAGTTGATGCATTGTTTAACCCCCCTCCCCCCCCCTCTCTCTCCCTCTCTCTTTTGTTTGAATGAAAGTTCAACTACTCACTTGTATCACATACGCGTGTGACACGGACACATCATGCATATTATGATAAATTACACATACACGCATAAGAATAATAAACATAGTATGTGTACATAGCCTACTGGTATAGGCCTATAAAATGTACAAATGTATTTCTATATCATTTAAATAATAATAAGTATATTACCTCTTTCCAACCCTTTGGCAATAATACATGAATACATGTAATTGGTCCAGGAATATTTTATAATTAAAAAAAAAACTGCAGGAAAATGTTACACAGTGTCTGTATAATTCTATCCCGTCCCGACAGTAATAGCAATGTATAATAAATATATATATACAGCGGCGTCTGAAATCTGTCGGAAAACGGGATTTATAAAAATCGGTTTATCAGGGTTTTCAAGTTAGTAGAGATCGAGACTGCTCAAATAGGAAGGGGGATAAAAATGAGAATTTACTCTTTTTCGGTTTACCGCTGTTTTCGGATAAGGCGGACTCCACTGTAACTTAGTGTAACAGAATACAGCACATTGAAAATGTTTAGTTAGTTTTAGCAACAGTTTAAAAAAAGTTTTAGTAGAGGTTTTTCGGCGCTCGCAACTGCATAAGGTCATATAAGCGCCAGAAGATTAGAGGTGTTACAAGAGAGTAACAAACATAAAAAAGAAGGAGGGGAGATAAGGACGATAGATGTTTGATAGGAAAGAAAAAGCAAACCACACCAGAGCACCTGCCAACCACCCACAGTAAGAGTTTTACGGCAATTGCAGCACAAGAAGGTCATATAAGTGCCGAAGATGAGAGGTGTTACAAGAGAGTAACAAACACACAAAAAGAAGGAGGGGAGATAAAGATCATAGATTTTTTGCTTGGAAAGAAGAAGTAAACCACCCAAGAGCACTCGCCAACCACCCATCATTGAACATGCATTTCTGAACAATAAATGTGAGGGAGCGAGGTGAAATCAGGCACTCGTCAAAATAATGAAAGTCAAGAATAGGCATTTTCCCGCAGGTTTGGGAATTTTTATCTAATTTTTGTTTTCGGTTCAGCACTTTTCATGTTTATTAGAGTAAGAGCACATTTCGGAGTGGATTTTACTGAAAAAATGTTGATTAAAGGCAGAAGAAATGTAAATTTTCAGTTTCCATGGGCTCCCAAGCTAAAGAAATAACTCAACTTTGGCGGCCATTTTCTCACTAATTTTACCTATGAGAAGGCAGATGACCCTTACCTCCTTCAATCGCACATATCTCAAGATAGAATTAGATGGATATTTTTTTCACCCAAAACAAGAAAAATGGACAGGCCTTAAGATGATACCATCAACCCAGTATGCCTGTTCCCGTAGCGATTGACGGGCTGCGTTTTTTCACGTAATTCTGCAACATTTGTATAATTTTGGATTCCCCGCATTTTTTCACCTTTTTTTCCACAAACCAATTAATTAACGCCTCGCCATGTGACTAAAGGGAAGTAATCACCGTAATAAGTCTCATTTAAGTGAAAAGTTGTTTTTTTCCATTGTTAGAAGATCTTGGTTATGGGTTGGGATTTTGTTCCTTGAGCATGTTCAATTTTTCAATCCATCAAAAGTTGTTCTCATGTCTGCTGATGTTTCATGTCAGACAGGTGTCCACGGTTTTAGTAATGTTCCAGCATCAGAGGTCCAGATGTCCTTTTTTTTTTTTTCATTTTTATTTCCCCTACAGAAATAGATCTAGATCTACAGGTGAAAGTTACTGAGATATTTTTTGGTTGTTTGTTTTTTTTACTGATGTGTATTGTTTTTTTTCCAAATACACAAACTACAGATACTGATATGTTCTGTTTTACATTTTTCTGTACATAAAACATGAAAATCATGAAAATTCGTGTTGAAAAAGTGTAAAACATGTCGCAAATGGTGTTACGGTAACTTGCATAATTTGTTTTTTTTTGGGCATAATTTGGCCATCTAAATTTGCATAATTCTACGGGGACAGGTATGCCCAAAAATTGACGAGAGCCTGATTCCTCCGTGTCGTGCCTCAAATGATAATTATGCCACTCTTTCCTGTCCGAGCAGTGAGCCAGGTTCTCCGAGCGGCCCGTGTCCAGCAGATGGACACCACGGTGTGTAGTGCTATCCTAAGTGCAGTGAGCGGTAACCCAACAAGCACAGTTGTCCCCCAGGACGTCCTCTGTACAGACCCGACACAGACCCAGGCCGGTGCCTGTCTGGTGAGTTACATCATACGTGTGCGTGTGTGTGTGTAAGTGTGTGTGTGTGTGTGTGTGTGTGTGAGAGAGAGAGAGAGAGAGAGAGAGAGAGAGAGAGAGAGAGAGAGAGAGAGTGTGTGTGTAAGTTGTGTGAGAGTATGTGTATGTTGTGTGAGTGAGTGCGTGTGTGTATGAGAGAGAGAGAGAGAGAGAGTGTGTGTTTAAGTTGTGTGAGTGAGTGCGTGTGTGTATGAGAGAGAGAGAGAGAGAGAGTGTGTGTTTAAGTTGTGTGAGTGAGTGCGTGTGTGTATGAGAGAGAGAGAGAGAGAGAGAGAGAGAGAGAGAGAGAGAGAGAGAGAGAGTGTGTGTTTGTGTGTGCGCCCATGTGAGTGTGCATGAGAGCTTGTGCGCGCCGTGTGCGCGCTAGTGCGCAAGTGTAGGTCTATCTCAAACCTAAGAAAAGAGAAACATCAACACACAATTCCTGTACAAGAATGCTAATACATGAATATATATAATATAATGCCTTCCATGTTCACAGTACGACGATGGTGGAATGTTGGCGTGCCCAGACAGAAACGGCCGCTACACCCTAGAGGGACTGGTGTCCGAGTATTCCTGTGGCAACGTGCCCACTGTCTACACCAGGGTGTCAAACTACACCGAAGCCATCCTTGCCAGACTATAACTACAGTAGTAATAGTAGTACCACGCATTGATCAATAATGATACTACTTGAAGTGAAGGGACTTCCCGTGAAGATGTATATGTATTGCCTAATCTCCACAGTGCTTTTAGTGAGGTTTTTTAAACGGCATTTGCAACACAAATAGGTTATACAAGTGCCAAAGGTTGGAAGTGTTACTCGAGCGTAAAATAAAATTTAAAAAAAAAAGAAAAGAAAAGGGAGGAGAGCTAATGATGAAAGGGGATCTTTTTGTTCATCCTTTAAAAAAATATATGGTAGATGTTTCACGCCCCCATCGACACATTAATGACATAACATAAATGACGGCATAATTTCATACTCAGTATGGCTAGGTGACTGGGGTTTTTTTGGTGGTGCTTTTTCAGAAACCAAAAGCACATTTCTGAACGCATATTGATGAACATAATGACAAATGTTCTTCAAACTAATTGGATAATACACACATGTTATATGACTACAAAAATACAATGTAGCAAACTGCATGCATAATGAGCTCCACTACACAAATCCCAAATCTTTGTTTTCGAGTTCAAGCTGACAAAAAGAACTTCATTTTCAGTGGAAAGAGAGTTTGCATAGATCTAATATGTATAATAAATTTACGATGACCAAAAGTACATGTTTGTGTTATTTATCCTCTGTATTGGAAATAAAATTGTATTATTTGTGCGATCTGTTTTGATTGAAGTGACCATGGAAAGACCTGTTTCCATTACCACAGTAAGTACAGATTATCTTGACAAAAATTTTAGGACCCCCCCTTCTATACACACAAATCAAAGAGCGCCAAGGGGTGAATGTCAGTCAACAGAGAAGCCCATACAGTGAATCAGGCTTATTCTGCTCACCTCTTAAGCTTCAACAGCATAAAGTCTGCTGCTTCGACTACATGTATCAAGGCACCCCGGAAATAGCGGGTCACAAGTGAGCGACAAACATACAACAGAAGTAAAGGAAAAATGACGATAGTAAGGATAAGGAAAGAAAAAGCAGCAGTTCCCCGTATGCAGTTCAGGTACAGTTATAAGCATGACATGCACCAGCACACAGATGGAGTTTCTCGATAAAAAAACATCCACACATGAGAGTTGAACCTAAGCCTTCTGCGACAACAGTTGTTCTTTAAATTCCACAGGACTCCAAAACTGATTAGAGAGAATCTGAGCATGTGTTAAAAGGCTGAAAAATGAGTTAACACATGATGTACGCATTAGTGATTTAAAAAAATTATAACACAAAGTCGAAGTTTGCAGCCTTGTCCCAAGTCGCCTTTGATTTACTTTCATTTTCAGAGGAGAGAATAACTTGATGAGAAGACAGGTCCCACTACGAATACTCAGGCATTAGGGAATTTGATAGTATTGACAGGGTGTCAACAAAGAAATTTTTTAGGCAGAATCTCTTCTTCTTCAAAGTTGAACTCCTGTGGAGTTAGCAAAGTGGACAGAAAAAAGCTCCCCGAAACATTTCTCTTAATACACATGTTTTACATTCCCATTATCACAATTAAGACCATTTAAAAGTTGGACCTACACCCTGCCTGGGCTGAAAGGGATCCAATGCCCCAGCAGAAAGACCGAGAAGCTCAATAAAAATTCTCCCAACATGGGAATCTAACTCAGGTCTTCTCCATGCCATGACAAAGTGTCACAAAGCACCCAACCTTTACACCACAGAGGCCAGTCCACACACCTCAAACAGTCCAGGTTCCACATCACTTCAATGGGGACTTGCAACAACATCATAAGTTATAGACTTCAACATCTAGCATGATCTAACTGAGCTGTCGCGTCGCCGCGACCCAGCGAGTTTTTCAATCAGTAACCACAGACACCAACTGTATAGATTACTATAAATACTGTAGAACTGGAGTTTACTGAAGGCTGGTTATATTTCAACATGATTATACTTTATTTGAAGGTGAAAACCCGAAGGATATTATTATGGGACAAAATGAATAAAGTGCCCAGTAGCAGGAAATCTATGCTTATCACAGTGAAAAATAATCCAACACCCCACTTGGATTTAACCCTCGGTGGGGCCAATATCCAGCCATGGGGATCAAAGTTTGAAAAACAAGAGTTCCAGACTAAGAATTACAAATTACAAAACACTGAGCAAGAACTGGATGATTTATCATTTATATATTTTATAATATAATCATTTTACTTTTTGACACTATTAAAAGAATCAAAACACAAACAGAACTGATGAACAACATTCGATACAATGAACATAATGTATTGACACTCATTGCAAATGAAAAAAATTCCCCCAAAAACAAGTACATAACAGAAATTTCAGATGACAGGAGTCGATGGTTCCAAACATGCACATGTATAAGGCAAAGAGACACATGACACAATGATTGATCTCAGCTGCCATTCAATGACACAAGCTTTCCCTCACTGCCGATTAAGTGCTCAAGGCTGCACCGTAATGATTATTTGATTTGTACAGTGAAGGATAAAATCAGAACCATGACTAAATGACGAGGAGACCATACATTTTTCTTTAGAAGTCTCAACTTTTTTTCTATAAATATGTTAGGCAGGGAAAGCGATCTGAAAAACCCCCCAACCCATTTTCTTTCTGGCAATAGCAAAGGTCTGGCAGTTGACATGAATTATACACGAGCCTATAAGAAATTTCCAGGACATGTAAAGCGACATCTTTCCATGTAAGTCAGATTTCAATTCCTTAAAATGGAACCGAATAAAATCTAACATTCCATCAAGTCTGTTTGTTTTGATTGAGTAAGGAGAATCACATCAACACATTAATGGTCATTTAGTGCTGGGAAAAAGTAACTCAGACAGAAACAACAGAAGGAAAGTAAAGAAGTAGGACCTACCAGTAGCAGCCTCCAACCACTGCCATTCTGTTTCCTTTGTCCAAATGCCAATACTTATTACTTACAAGTATACTATAAGTGTCAATGGCATCCATGCACCTAATTATATCAAACTCACTGATCACAAAGAGTACTCATTCAAACTACAACTGCCCGGCAAGCTCTTAGCTGTGACAACTCCCCCACTTGCATTCACTCAGCACCAGGCATACCACCACATTACTTACAAAATAGTGTGCTAGAGTGCAAATTAAACAGTTAACTTACTATTTTGACTAGATCTAGTAGTACTACTAGTAGTACTGATAATGGAAAACAAAGGGTAATCTTACATAAACTTCCAACCGTGGACTAAATGTAAATTATTTTCTTAAAATTTCTCCATTTTCACTTGGTATGTGTTAAACACTCTTATAAATGACACAAGGTTATTTCAGCGGCAAAACTTCTCAAGACTTCTAAATTCTAAATGTCTTATCTCCTCCAGAATCAAGCCTAATAGGCGGACAGCCCAAAAACTCCCCTAACAACCAAAATTCAGGAACTTCCTGTAAGGGATTTGAACCGGGGTCAACTGCCCCATAACCCAACATAAAACCAACTAAATAATCTGAGCGCTCAAGAACGGATAAAAAGAAAGCTCATAAAGCCATTATTTCAAGTAAATCCGTTTCCTTTTAGTGAAACAGACAAAACAATATAAGAAAAAGTATGAACAACACAGCAAGTGAGCCGCCACTGGGAGACAGTAGTCACATGTTGCATACTTTCCCCTTACAATACAATTCACATTAAGGCATGTCAAAGCACCAGTGGTCCCATTTCTCTGTAGGAGTGGAAGTTCAATACTTTCTTCTTATTTCAAGTAAAAACTCAAAAGCAGAAAACTAAAATATATGCCCCCCCCCCCCTGTTTTAGTATCTTTGTTTTTAGTAAGGTTTTACAGCGCTCGCAACTGCATAAGGTTATACGAGCGCCAAGGGGTGGATGCCAACAGAGAAGCCCAAACGGGGAATCAGGCTGGCTTATTCTGCTCACCCCTCTAGCCTCAACAGCACAAAGTCTGCTTCGACTATCAAGGCACCCCGGAATTAGCAGTTCACAAGAGAGTGACAAACATTAAAAAAAAAAAATAGTAGAGGGTTTTACGGCGCTCGCAACTGCATAAGGTCATATGAGCGCCAAGGGGTGGGTGTCAACAGAGCAGTCTTTACTTTACAGGGAATCAAACTTAGACTGCTCATCTCTCTAGCTTCAACAGCACAAGGTCTGCTTCGACTATCAAGGCACCCCGGAAATAGCTAGCAGGTCACAAGAGAGAGACAAACATACAGAAGAAGTAGAGGAAAATGACAATAATAAGGATCAGGAAAGAAAAAGCAGCAGTTACCTGTTGTAGATCAGGCACAGTTAGGAGTGTGACATGAGTCAGCCCATTTACAATTCTACTATGCTTGAAGGAGAAATGTCCCCCCTTTGGGAATGGCCTAACGACACTACAGTCAGTGGCACTGCCCGGTGGGGGGGTAGTGACAAACATACAAAAGAAGAAGAGGAAAAATTACGATAGTAAGGATGAGGAAAGAAAAAGCGTGCTGAAACAACAATGGGGAAACTTCACCCTCTAAACCTGATCTTTGAATTATGAAACTAATAATATTACTACAAAAAAAATACTGGCCATATCACAAGTTTCATGAATTTTGAATATACCGTTCTAGGCTCTGGGATATTTTGCCCTTCAACAAAGGCGTAGAAATGATATTTCTATATACTTTTTCAGCAAATTATGCACTTCTATTCTAATTTCAAAGACTGAACAAGACTTAGTCACCAAAACTAATGCAGATACACAATAGACTGTCTTGGCTATCTTTCTCTTTCACTTACCCTACCCCCTCCCCCTGTTCACCCAATCTTTAATCACTTAATATAAAATTTAAAAAAAAACAACAACCTCATTTGCTGTTCTAATTCTAATGAATATAAATGATATAATGAATCCATACAAATCATCACAACAGCAAAAGCCTGAATTTAAAGACCATTTAACTCTATAAAATTCATGAAACCTTAACATTGCCACCAATCACAGTAGACATGAAATATGAAAACAAACTTTTTCAACGAGTTTTATCAACATAGTAAATAATAAGATCAGGTCCCAAAACATACTACATACACATTCTCTTGTGAAATGTAACCTTACATACAGAAACATGTATAACTGATGGCAATCGATTCACACAAAAATGGGGGGGGGGGGGGGGGGGGGAAGAAAGAAGAAAAATGAAAATAAAATCAGCATGTGTTCATCATTAGAGAGGCCTGTTGCACTTCAATCATGAAAAAAGTCCCCATTCCTCCAAAATAGCATTCAATGCACCTCAAACTTTCAAGTCATCCATAAAAGTATATTCAGAGTAATACAATCAGATCAACAATGTAAATTTGATTTCCAGCCCTCAAAACACTATTCTTGCACCATTCCTGAGCTTGTAAGTGGTGATGCTTGTGAAGATTATTTTACAACTTCAGACTTAGCCCCCGAGGCGTTCTCCTTCGCTGCCCTGTCAGTCTTGACCTGACGGATGAAGGTAAGAATGCTTTAATTCCTTAATTAAAAAATGTATAATTAGCAGCAAATCATGGAAAAATGAAACTTTTTAAAAACATCTATGCTATTTAACAAGTCTAATAGAACAGTCACAGTCGAAAAATAATCGAGTCAATGGGAACTGAAAAAACCAAAGCAAACAGAACTCTCACATGAACTGTAACCCATTAATGCATGACCTCTCATAATGGGATAAAATTTGAAAGAATTCAGGTTGCTTTTGTATTAATTAAAAACGCCCTTACTTTTGATGCTGCCGAAAGGTAGCTGCACGAGAGGGTGCCTGTTTTTTGGGGATTTCCAATGAGCAATAATAAGCTTTCAATAGGTTAAAATTACAAAATAAATTAAACCTAAGGTGGTGAAAAATGCAGTTTATTGTACTTAGATACAATATCAGTGCACACAATGTGTATTCGTTGCGAAAATTAAATATTTCCAGTAAAAACGCGGGTTTTAAGACAAGTACTACTGAAACGGAGACGTTTTTATGGTCGATGTTACTGAGTGCCATGTGTCTTGCTCCTTGTTTTAGTTTACTTGAAGCGTCCTCGGGCTTTCCTCCTCTTCTGTTGATGTTGTTTTCAGTAGTTTTCATTATGTATTTATATTTCTAAGGTGTCTCAGTCTGTTGCTAAGGTTTTCCCCTCTGTCTTTGTCGACTTTTGTTCTGTGGAGTTTGCTTTGCTACTCTACAAACCAACGTGCTTTTTACAGATATAGTAGGCAATATCCCCAAATATCTTCAGACACAGATCGTAATTGCTGTTGCACAGTTCTGCCTGCGGTGCTCGAATGATGGTAACTTTAAGGCTTTGCCAGCTCTTCCCCCCCCCCCGAGTTAACCAGATGAAAGTGATTCTGGGCCTTCTGGTTTGTGACACCCTCAACAGTTCGGATCTCCACAATCCTAGGCTGGTTTTCCTATGTCTTATCTATGGGAACAGAACACTGCTGTTGACAGCTTGTTGGGTGGCACAACCCATCTTTGTTCCGTGAATCTTCATACCTCTCTGTCAAAGAGCTAAATATTCACGTTTTTTAATTAAAACTTTAATTTTGAATCTATGCTTGGCAGATCTTTCTTTGTGTTCCCCTGCTTGACCTCAGGAGCAGTTGACAAGGATTATTTTTTCAAAACAGGGTCCTGTGCTGGAATCAATTGGACAATCAATCCTGCCTGAGCGGAAATTTCTTAAAAGACACAGAGCTCAAGTAAAGTTTCTGACAAGCTCTGACTTGATTTTTAGTGTGTAGCGAGTCAACTTAAAAAACTGTCATACTATACCAGGACCAAATAAGACCCACTATGAATATGGGGAAAGAAGTACTGGAAGGAAGTAGTAAGCGTACTGTAATATCAACCAATTACCCACTTCATACTTATGCAAACAAGGACAAACAAAATGAGGAAATATGTCCAGAAAAATGTCTTTCCAACAATGCCAAATGAAACACAGGAACTTCGTTAACTTGCAGAGTGAAAAGAAAGATAGCATCTCTAACCCTTTATTGCCTCATAGTTTAACAAGAGACCTTGGACGGGTAAACTTTTACTATTACCATCAAGATTCTAATTTCTCACCGATGAATGATGACAGCAGAGCCATAAAACGTCACAGGGGGATAGAACCATGAGCTAGACAAAACCCTGTCAAGTCAATATGGCTATGGCAATATTTCTCAAATGACCACGCCTAAACTGTTCACAGCCAAGACCCATGACCCTTACTTTATGTAGATGTACTGGGCTCAAATTCCGACAGACGAGGTGTTGGACAAAGGGCTAATCCAAATTACCAGAAGAAAGGCACAGGACAACGTCAAAATGGATTGCTATAAACTTGCCATAGTGGAGTTTATAGCCAGGGCTGCCAACCCACATTAAGTAAAAAGAGTACAACCGATGGTGAAAAAGAGTAAGATTAGGTAAAAAAGAGTAAGATCTTAAATAGTAAGTGAAATGTTGTGGTACCAAGACACAAGCAGACCGGCATGCACACATTTGTCCCACTTTGTACACGCAACGTAGCTCACGCGGTACACACAAGTTAAAAGCGATAGCGACGCTCAGACACGGGACCAGCAGGAACAAGAGGTTATCGAATAACGCTTATCGAGGGAGATATTTGTCGCACAGGCGGAAGAATATGAAATCTAAAATCCTTATGCTACCCGGCTGACATGAAAAAGATGTACAATGTATAAAAAAGTCTTATAAAAAGCATACAAAAGTTTTAAAAAAACGCATGAATACATAATTTTCGGGTGAGGTTGGCAGCTCTGTATATCCCCCAATATTTGAAGCACAACACATAGATTACCCTGCGGCTTACAGAGTTGAATTAGAGCAAAATCACTGACAAGAATTTCTAAGCAGATCTTCGCATTGCAGAAGTCTGGTGCACATAAAAATTTGAAGGAAGAGAAGGCCTTCAAAGAACTGTTCCCCCTGCTTGCAGCATGGAATTATATTTAAAAATTATTTCAGAGATAAGTTTTATTCACTACTCATCCTAGGGAAAAATACACGGAAAACTACAAAAATCCTTCTGGCCTGTGCCCCCTCCCCAGGCTATACAAGATATGAAAGCATATTCCAACAAATGGAAGTAAACATAACATTTCATTTCCGGACAGCTAATAGTCAAATTAGCTACTTGTTTTATTTATCATTTTACTGTATTTAAAACACAATTAGGTAATACAAATGTTGAAGATTAGAGGTGTTAGAGTAATGAACACAGACAGTAAAGAAGAGAGATGGGGATGACAAGTGTTTAATAGAAAAGACAGAGCTAACCACACCCCATACCAGAACACCTGCCAACCACCCACATTACATCATTTGACACAAATCAGGGTCTAAAAGAGAACAGACAACACGCTACTCACCTCTGTTTTATAAATGCTCATCTTATGCTCCTGTGTGCAATGTTGGCATAAAGCCCAGCCAGAGTTGAACTGAGCATCACAACTGGCACACAACAAGATATCTGGCTCACCATTGTCTCCACCTGCACGAGTTGTCATAAATATAGTTTCATATCACGTAAATAAGAAACACGCAGAATGTCAAAAAGCATATAATTCTTTTAATGAATGGAATAAGAAATATAAGCCAGTAAACAATAATTTCTTAAAGAACAAAGTTCTCATCTTCACATTTCATTCAAAGAGAAAAGGAGGCCTCTCCAACTAAAGTGCAAATCAAAAAATTTGACCGCTCAATTAGTTGGTTGAATTTGCACAATGGCGATGAACATAAAAATCACATTTAAAAAAATTGTATTGATTTTATTTCTTCTGACCTGTTGGGAAACATTTGGTTTAACAACGCTTCTGGTGATATTTAATGAAAGAGTTGTTGGAAGTCTTACTTTCTTACCAGATCTTGCAATACTCAACCGCCAATAGGCTGTTTTAGTTTTACTTTCAGTAAGTTTTAGAGCACTTGTAACACAAAAAGGTCATATAAGTGCCAAAGATTAGAGGTGCTAATAGATAGTAACATACAAAGAAAAGGAGGAAAGATAAGGATGATACATGGTTAATAGGAAAGAAGGAGCAAACCACACCAGAGCATCCATCAATCGTCCACACAACTTTTAAAATTTTATTTTATTACAGTACAGGGTTTTACGGCGCTCGCAACTGCATAAGGTCATATGAGCGCCAAGTGGTGAGTGTCAACAGAGAAGTCTTTACAGGGAATCAGACTTACACTGCCCACCTCTCTAGCTTCAACAGCACAAGGTCTGCTTCGACTATCAAGGCACCCCAAAATAGCAGGTCACAAGAGAGTGACAAACATACAAAAGAAGTAGAGGAAAAGGACAATAGTAAGGATCAGGAAAGAAAAAGCAGCAGTTCCCTGTTGCAGATCAGGCACAGTTGTGAGCGTGACATGAATCAGCCCATTTACAATTTTACTGTGCTTGAACGAGAAATGGTCCCCCTTTGGGAATGGCCTAAAGACACTACAGTCAGTGATGCTGCCCCGTGGGGATCCACACAACTGGGCACTCAGATGCAAAGTAATAACGCTTATGTAACAGAGGAGTACAAGAATAGTAGCCTACAAACAGAAGCAGGAGGACAAAGATTTTACATAAACTGACAAAATTAAATAGGAAAAAAAAAATTACCTGGAGAGTTTGAATCATCTCTGGCTTGCGTACTGAGACGTAACTGACAGGGAATCTTCTTGTGTTGGGCCAAACTGTGAAGACTGGTAAACTGCATCTTGCACACTCCGCAGATCAAAACATCAGGCCCTAGGGCAACAAGCAAAAACATTTAATTTTGAAAAAGAATTTTTCCATAAAATAGGACATGTCCAACTTACTTTAATACTCTTTCAAAAGAGGCTAGTAGTTATGAATTAGAAAAGCACCGCAGGGAAGATATGAAAGCTCAAAAAAAAAAAAAAAAGAGAAGACAACAAGAGGTAACAAAAAGAGGGAATAATACTTTTTTTGTTTTAAATGTGGGTATTTTACATCCCCATCGACACAATTTAGATCACATGGGAAGTGGACTTTGATCCTGCTATAATCACTGATAGTGCCAACTGGGCTGAATGGGATATAAAGTCCCAGTAAAAAAAAAACACACACAGGGGCGAAGCGTCTATATAATCAAATAATCACTGCTTCCCTTTCTAATTTTGAAACATTGTCGCTGTCAAATTCATCCTTAAACGTAAACCTCATAAATTAAATGTCAAAAGACGTTCGTAATCAACAAATAAAGTGAGGCTGGAATAGAGTTGAAGGGAACATGTGCATGGCAGTCAAAGCTGTTTCATTGCCACATATACCCTGTTCACCCCTTTGGGGCCACAGTTAAAATCAATCACCAGCCCTGATTAAGTAAGCTAACTAACACTGGTCGAGTCTACCTCACACATGTGAGGGGAACTAACTCTTAATAATCTCTTGACTGCTGCTTGTGCTTGTTTTTTTTCCACGACTTTTTACCGTCCTATAATCAGATCGTGACCTCGATTATGACACCAGCTCCTGGCCGCGAAAGGCTAACAAAAACAGCCAAATGTGAAATTTAAAAAATAATAATTGTCATGTTCTACCAAAGAGTTAGACTCACTGGTAGATCTATAACATATAGATCTAGTACTGACATCTCTGCTTCTTTGCTTTATGTTTATGTATTCACATCTAAAGTTAAGTTTAATTTTTAGTGGGAACTGATATTTAATAAGATACTTTCCCGATTATTTTGGCGGTTGAACATACAATATGAATTCCGGATTTGTTTTCATTCACAACTCAACTCAGAGTCGCCGCCTCGAGTAAGATTATTGTGTGATATCTACAGGCCCTATCTGGTCCCATTTCACTTTGATTACCCTGTCAAACAAGTCAGCCTTCGCCCCTGAACACACAGAACAGTAAAATATAACCACCAGAAAAATAAAAACCTCCTTACATGTACTCCGCACGGCAGCTGGCTGGCTAGCCCCACTGTCTTTACGTGCCATAAAAGTTTTGGAGGCGGGTGCAGAGTTTTTCACTGTGGGTGGAGGCTTAGATACATTTTTTTTGGATACTGTGGCTAGAGCCCTTTTCACAGCATTGTTTGCAGCAGTCTGGAGAAAAAAAAAATGGCCAAAAGTATTATTAGCACCCTTTCTTCTCCCTTTACTTGATCAACACTTTGCTTATATGAACAGAAACTACATTCTAATAACAAAGTACAATGTGAAGCCATGAACCAGTTCTCCTTCCTGTCATTGTACAGTCTCTTGACTTTCGACTTTATGACAATCAAACAGTTGAAACTTGGTACAGCAAAATAATTAAAAAGGCAATCTCAAATGCAAAAACAAGAATCTAGGACACAATAATAATCATAAACGATAACAATTAATTGGAACACTTTGAAAATGAAGAGCACTGAATTTCTCTCCAATCAAAAATACAAATACCAACATACTTGTCATTGGAAAAAAAAAAAAAAACATGAATCAACATGAACTTCATTTCTTTCTCTCACCGAGACTCTCACCCTTTCATCAACTCTATTGAAGACTTAAATTTCCCAACATGACTCACTCTTTTATTTGAGTCCGAGCTGCCACTGAGGGTCACTAAGGTCCTCTGCAGTGATTGATTGGAGCCCACATTCTCATTACGAGGTTTCTTTGGCTGACTGTCAAAGTAACATTAAATAGGCACATTGTTAAGAACAATCATAATCCTTGACCATCGGTATATTAAACAGAAAACCTAAAAATAGCAATAGACAAATACACAATTGCAAAAATAGTAATCAATGATAATTCAAACATTCAGCACAAATACTAAAATCTATGAGTGTGTACGTATTTGTATACTTCTATTTGACAATTTGCTATCAACCGCATCTCCAGTTGTGACACTGGGAAAAATTGAAAAACACATGAGACAAAAACCAAAATTTCCTCCTTGGAAGATATGAACAAGATAGAGATGTCCTTTACACTGATCACAAACCAGCAGTGACAAAAGGACAAAAATCCCACAGAATAACAAACCACTCCAACACCATGGACAAAACAAAAACAACCCAAAAAAAAAATAAAAAAATACTACAGATGTGACAAATATAACTTGTTGAAAACTAAAGCATGGCCCCAATAAAACATATAAACCTTGATTTCTATCTTCATTTTTTTCTTAAATGACACAGAAGAAAATCAAACCGACTTACATCAAAAGGCCAAAACATTGTCACATAGAGAAAACACAACCACAACCTAATGCCAAAGCCTGATAACTTTCAGACACACACAAAAAATGTTTGAAACTGTTCTGGATAGGAAATTCTCCTTAAGAAAAAAAATTTAACAACAGAAACAATGCATCAATTTCTCTCCTAAAAATGTGTCAACTTCTGAATGCTTACAGCAATGGACAAAGAAAGTAAATTGCGCAAATTCTTTGAGCAATACAAACTATTGATACCCAAAACTTCCTTCAAAGAAAAAAAATGTATCTATTGTGTAATGAGATGTAGCCAAACGTTTAACAAGTGTCATAGCAAACAATGAAAATAAAAACGTATACCTATTCCAATGATTTATGATAAAAAAACAGAAAAAATATAAATTACCTGAGAAATCAACTGAGAGAACTATCAAGAGCAAAAATGACATAAAACTGCCTGAATGTAGCTTTTAATTATGAAACCACTAAATAATGAGAACACATTTAAAAAAGAAAGAAAACCTGCAACTTACCATGCTCAGCAAAAGATGATTACAAAAACAGCACTTGGAAATTGTTCACATAGATATAAAAACGTTGACACATATCTCAAAATAGTTCCACAATCAATGAAAAAGGAAACTAGATACACTAAATTTTTTCTTCTTTAAGAAAGTTCTTTCCTCTGCTTTTTATAAAAAACGAGTGTGTAAAAAAAAGGGAAAATACAATGAAGTTAAATGTCTATTAACTACGATATGGAAAAGGTTTAAGTGATACTCTAAATTAGAGCCTGTTTCCATAAAAATGTCTTTCAAAAATGACCATTAATGAAAGCAAAAAGCAAAGTTACCTTGATCTGTCTTACATCAATGTTATGAATCATCTGGCCTACAGTAAAAAAAAATCATGTTTTACTTACGCTTCGTTTACAGATCTTCCACCTGCAGAGCGCTTCAGCGCATTTCTGTTTTTTGGTTGAGACACAATATTGATATCTAAAAAGGGGGGGAAGGGAAAGACATAAGACGGCCGATAAAAAAATGTGCCTTCTCAGGAAAGAAAAATATATGGAACAATCCCACAACTCCAGGAAACCGGAAAGCTGCCAGATGATCAAGAAAACATTAGGGCAAAAATGAAACAAACGCCTTCTTCTAAAAGTTGCTGCTGATATTCACTGCAAGAAAATATAAAAAGTGAATTTTCAAGGGAGTAAAAAAATGCTAAGAAAAACATTTTGTTGGCCCCCTGCTTCTTAACTTAAAACAACAAAAAAAGTCTGTGAGAAGAGGAAAAAAGTGGACATCCAGTTAAACAAAACTTGTTACATCTGTCTGGTACAAAAAAAAAGTGGTGGATGTACTCAAACAGTTCACAGACATGTGAGGGGAGCATCTTAAAGATAAATCAGCAAAAAAGAGTGGAGTTCACTTCAAATACACTTTGACAAAACTCACTAGAGGTAAAAACAAAAGCTGAATTGTAGTTGTTTTTTTGGGGGCTCTAATTATCAAAATGCCCGCCTAACATAACCAACTTGATATTATTTCATGTGCTGGTAGACTGTGATGTCGAGTCTTGGCTCAATTTCATATAACAAACTAGCTGAATTACGCTCGAAATACATTCCTAAAAAACTCACTTGAGGTGAAAACAAATACAGCAATGGTCCTGATTGGTACCTTTTTTTGTTTTAATGTATCAAAATGTATGCCTAACATAACCAGCTTGATATTGTTTCACCTGCTGACAGATTGTATGATGTGGAGTCTTGGTTCAGTTCCATATAGCAAATCAACTGTGTAAGGCAAGGCTTCCACTTGAGGGTCAGAACACTTAAACTATTACACCAGTTTATGCCACTTCCAGGACACATTAGAATTACTGAGCATGGAAAGACTGCCTCAGTTGAGCACTAGCGCCCGCATTGCCCTCAACTTCTCATACAATGTTGCTCTGTAGACTGTAGATCACCCCCACTAATCACATAGTTTTTGCTTTCTCTATCTCTCATAAATTACTTCTCACCCACATATACATACTTAAACAACTACAGAGGAAGAGAAGAACAAGTGGTGATAAGCTGATCACTACCACAAGATACACAGTGTACCGTCAAATTTTCTCCACTTACAGTTTGGTGCACGGAGCTTCACATTTTTTCCTTATCAAGGATAAAAGTATTCAAAAAAATATCCTTCATCCAGAGACCCAATTAATTAATAATTCAATAACTGACAACTCTACAAAACTTCTAAAAATAAACTTTGCCAACAAAAATTCCCGCTTCCTGTGGTGAGTTTTCCTGGAGTGAATGCCACTGTAACATAAAAGAGCACAGAGGATAAAATAACTTGAAGCATTTATATCTAGAAAAGATTGCATTCTTTAACCAAAAATCCTTTCCATACATCACACTGTGAATGTTACGAGTACATTTGACTGACAGTACATGCATGTACATAATATATCCAGAGCTGGACTGTCAGTACACACAATTAAGTGCCAACAGTACAACAACTTGGAAAATACTTTTTACCTGAACCAAACAAAATCTTCAAATTTCAGCTGAATCTTTTTCTGTTAAAATGTTGTTTTTTGGTGAAGAACTTAAAGCAAAACCTAAGCAAAAGGACCAGGATTGAATATTTTTCAAATTGTCTTTAACTGTTAAGAAAAAATTAAAGAACAAGATACTTTCTTTTTATCCATTTGGGGTCATGGACCTTAAAAGCAGAAGCATAATTTTGAAAATGCTCTTTTAGATTTCTCCCAAACTAATGTGGAAGAGGAAAAAAGTACAAAGGATGATAAACAATTGCATATACTGCACTAGGCAAAGGCACTTTACCCTAAAAATAAAAAAATTAGGGCATCCAGAAAGTAATGGTTTCAGTCCACAAGAGCAACAACAATGCCCTAACCCAAAACAATCTGTGAAAAAATAAAACCAGCTTGCAGCTTGATGAGAATGCATAGACAGCACATTGGCATGACATATATAAAAGTTGGCATGCAACACATTTTGGAATTATTTTTTCCCACACTGCAAGAATTGTAATCTTTGTCACTTGTAATAGCCTAGAAAAACCTGGGAATAAAACTAGAGTAGAAAACAAAATTGAAATTACCAACAAAAAGAGTCCAACCCACTGGCCATATGAATGATGTAACATTGTAATTTGTTCTTTAAAGGTGTTTTCAGTGATAGAACAAAATTCATTTGCTAGGTCTACTGACTACTGACAAAATACATTTTAAAAATATCCTGATTTTAAAGCGAAAAGAGAGAAAAGAAAAGAAAAAATAAGTAAACCTATGCTTCAAGTAAATGTCTCAGACTATGACAATTCATCAGTCATTGTAAGTTCAACAAAAGAAGTTGTCAGTGCAAACAGAGTCCAACTATATTAAATAAATGAATTAACATACAACAACCGACAACCCCATGGACAAAAAAAAAAAAATCTCAACAGGAGAGAGAAACAAAATAGGTCAGTCATGGATAATTATTCTTATATTGAGTTCTCTCTATGTTTTTGTTTGTTTTAGTAGAGGTTTTACAGCGCTCGTAACTGCATAAGGTCATATGAGCGCAAAGGGGGGGATGTCAAAAGAGAAGTCCTTACAGGGAATCAGACTTACTCTGCTCACCTCTCTAGCTTCGACAGCACATGCTTCCACTATCAAGGCACCCCGGAAATAGCGGTCACAAACATAAAAAAGCAGAGGCGAAGCGTCTATAAAATCAAATAATCACTGCTTTCCTTCCTAATTTTGAAACATTGTCGCAGTCAAATTCACCCATAGACGTAAACCTCATAAATTAAATGTAAAAAGACGTTCACAATCACCAATGAACAATAGACTATACCTAACCTTCAAAACCGTTTCATTGCCACAGAAATAGCCTGTTCGCCCCTATCGGGCCACTCCATAAGCAGTCACAAGCTTTGATTAAGTAAGCTTAAAGTGAGGCTGGAAGAGTCTACCAATAGAGTTGAAGGGAACATGTGCATAGAAGTCAAAACTGTGTCATTGCCACCTATACCCTGTTCACCCCTTTTGAGCCACAGTTATAAGCAGCCCCACACGCTGATTATGTAAGCTAACTATTACACTGGTCGAGTATACCTCACAAATGTGAGGGGAACTAACTCCTAATAATATCTTGACTGCTGCGAGTGCTTGTTTTTTTCCCCTCGACTTTTTAATGTCCTATAATCAGATCGTGACCTCGATTATGACACCGGCTCCTGGCCGCGAAAAGCTAGACAAAAAACAGCCAAATGTGAAATAAAAAATTAATAATTGGCATGCTCTACCAAAGTGTTTCGGCTGTCTGGTATAACATGCCATTGTAGTACTGACATCTCTGCTTCTTTCCTTGGTGCTAGTGTGTTCAAATCTAAAGTTAAATTTAAGGTTAGTTAGAATAAATATTTAATGAAATACTTTCCCGATTATTTTAGCGGTTCAATATGCATACAACATGAATTCAGGATTTGTTTTCATTCACAACTCAGATTTGCCGCCTTCAGTGCCATAAGATTCTTGTGACTTGTGTGAGTGTGATATCTCCAGGCCCTATCTGGTCCCATCTCATTTTGATTACCCTGTCAAACAAGTCAGCCTTCGCCCCTGTACAAAAGAAGTAGAGGAAAAATGACGATAGTAAGGATTAGGAAAGAAAAAGCAGCAGTTCTCTGTTGTAGTTCAGGCACAGTTATGAGCGTGACATTGTTGAATCAGCCCATTAAAAATTATACGGTGCATAAGAACGAGAAATGTCCCCCATTTGGGAACGTTTGCCGTGAGACTTTCAAACTGAGGATATTTCACAAACCTAAAAGAGATAACAAGAAAACAAAAATAATCACTTTGGCATTCATCTCCCCCCTCCCCCCCCCAAACAAACAAACAAACAAACAACCGGTCTTGACAGAAAAAATAAGTTCAATACGTCACAACATCTTCCCTGGTTTGTCCATCAAATTTCCCCATACCTCAGCATTTATAAACATTCCTTAAAGGTTATACTGTAAGCGTAAATGGTCTAGAGAGATAATAAAAAACTTCTCTCATTTCATGTCCCAGCACCACAAATACGACTTCTCTGAAAGTAATCATCGCACCATAGATGCTGCTTCTCTGTAAGTAAGTTCCGGGAAACATTTAAAGTGATCATATAGAACAAAATAAAAAAGACATTGTGCAAAAAGATACAGCACGACTTTTTTTTTTTTGGGGGGGGGGGAAGCAAAGTTTCTCTAAAATTAATACTTAGAATAGAGACATGTGCCTTTATCACTGCAAGCAGCAGTAAGGATTAAACATTTTAAAGCCACTCAGCATTTACATTACAAGTCAATTTATATTTATTGCTTTTCAAAATGCCAACATTTCACTCTCAAATAGCATTTTTGGGGGGTTTTAACAATAATAAGCTTCTGATTATTGACTATCTACACTTTGAGCGTTAAAGAAAATCTTTTATCCCTGCCCAGTGTGATCAACATGCAATAAAGATAAAAGTAAAAGAAACTGAAAACAAAAGGGAAAGAGTTGCTGAAGATATACAGATGACAAAATTGTACACAAAACGGAAACAAACGTTCAATATTACAGTTTAAACATGTGTATTCTTGTGGAGATAAAAAATAAATCTCTCAAATTCATTACTAGTAACTGCTGTAAGAACAACCTTAGTTATTATTTTAGTGTTGTAACCTTGCATTAAAAAGGAAGGAGAAATCAAACTATCTGTACTTATTACAAAAGACTGGAAGGAATCCAAAACCTTCATTTGCTTCTATTAGCGATAACAGTAAACATGTTTTTTAGGAACATGTAACATCTTATCAATATAGTTTTTGTTTTTTTTAAACAACAATGTAGAAAATAAAACTATGCACCATTATGATTTTAATTGTTTAAATGCAAAATTCTTTTGATGTCACACAATCATGTTCACCCCCCCCTCCCCCCTATCAAA